GAGATCGCACCATTGCACTCCAGCCTGGGTAACATGAGTGAAACTCCGTCTCAAAAAAAAAAAAGAAAAGAAAATGGGACATAATTTGTCCCTTAAACTTCAATCATCTGGCCCACATAGCAGTCAGTTTTGGGATGAAGCAGGGCTGTTTTACCCAGAACTAGGGGTCCAAAGTGTAACTACGTAATAGGGAAAAGGAGGGGTGAAACGAAGAAGGGCAACGGGTGCTCCCTCATCAAGAGTGGACCTGGCTTCTGACCTGCAACTTCATGAACACGTGGTCTTCCAGCCACCTTCCTGAGGACACAGGCTAAGGGCTTCAGGACAAGTCGGGTGGCTTGGTTTTCAGAATTTCTGGGAGCCAGAGTCCTATCAGGACCTCGGGTACTTTCAGCAACTGGGGTACTTTCAGGTGCTACCTGACCCACTGGTCTAACTCTTGTCTGGCCTAGGAACCATCAGCCAAGGGGAAGAGGCCCTGTGAGCTGACCGGCTGGACTGGAAATTAACAGTTTTCCACTCATCAATTTACTGGTTGATTCCCCAACAGTGGTCTCTGCTGCTCAGCTCCCCCTACCTGGCTCCATGCAAGCACTGCCTGGTGTCAGGTGTCAGGGTGGGGTCTGGCAGCCCTGGGAAGGCAGTCCCTTTCTCCTGGATCACCTTCAGGTGGGTCAGTAGAGGGACGAACACTGCGGAACTCGATCAGCTGTCTGCAAGTCAATCAGCAGGAAACAAGGGCTTGCCCTGTGGTTTCTGCAAGATGGCCTTGGCCTGTGTTCAGATTCAGACTCAGGCCTATAGCCAGTCTAGCCCACTATAGAGAAGGGCCAGGTGGGTAGTTTTCACCCCTTCTGCAGCTGTCTTAAGGGGGGTGCTGTGGTACACTGGGGATGAGAGCCTTCAGCCCCCTACCCTGGGCATCCTCTCCCCATACCTTGGGGCGGGAGCATTTTAGTCATTTCTCCCAGCCCCACCCCAGGCACTGATCAGTCCCACTGAGGCTGAGCTGGCTGCACCTTGCCCGGGCCCTCACAGCCTCTTCCTTCCCTCTCTGCTATGGTGCTCCTGCCTGCCCCTGTGGGCATTCTCAGGGAGATGCCCTGATTACAGGATGTCACCAGCCTGTACCACTCTATCAAGCTGGGCCTGGCTTCTGACCAGCAACTGCTGCATGAAAGCTGGCCTTCCAGCCTCCTCCTCCAAGGCAAAGTTAGAAGAAGGGGAGAAAGGTTAGGCCCCTGTCAAGAAGAGTGCCCTCTTCTTGGGCTGGGTAGCTGGCCTTTTGCCTCCCTGATCCCTTTGTCAGCAGGTCTGGGGAATGAGGGAGGCTGCAGGTCGAGGTGGGTGCAGCTGGGACAGCTCTGTGTTTATGCACAGAGGAGCTTGCACAAGGACTCTATTGTGAGGGGCTGTGCTGTGAGAAGGGGCTGGAGGATGTTGTCCTCCCCTCGGGGACTCCTGCTCCCTATGGTCTTGCTGACGGCCCAGCAGCCCCTAGCTATCAGTGATCCCACCAGACACTATCTCCCTCCAAGCAAAGAGACACAGGACTTCTCTGGGATGCACCCCAGCATGTGCTGCTGTCTTCACCTGTGCACTATCCCCGGTGGCCAGCAGGGGCCAGTCTTGCAGATCATGCACACCTAAGAGCAGCGTTTTTTTTTTTTTTTTTTTTGAGATGGAGTTTCACTCTTGTTGCCCAGGCTAGAGTGCAATGGTGCGATCTCGGCTCACTGCAGCCTCTGCCTCCTGGGTTCAAGCAATTCTCAGTTCTCCTGCCTCAGCCTCCTGAGTAGCTGGGACTACAGGCATGTGCCACCACGCCCGGCTAATTTTTTGTATTTTTGTAGAGACAGGGTTTCTCCATGTTGGTCAGGCTGGTCTTGAACTCCCAACCTCAGGTGATCTGCCTGCCTTGGCCTCCCAAAGTGCTGGGATTGCAAGCATAAGCCACTGCGCCCGGCCGGAGCAGCGCTTCCTAGCCATCTTCTCTGAGCAGAGGTCTGTCCACCCGAGCCCAGCCTGCCTCCTACCTCATGACCCCTCCCCATGGAGAAAGCTAAGAGGTCCTACAGTCACCCCCTACTGGGAAAGCAAGAAGGGGTCCTTCAGTGAGGCTGTAGCTCCTGGAGGGGTGGTAAGGTCATGCATGATCTGGAAAAGGGTGCAGAGGGAGGGACACAGTGAGGCAGCCAGGGTCTGGGGCCTTCTCACTGGCAGCTGCTAGCTCTCATCCAGGAAGCTGCAGTTCTGGGGATACACACAGTGGGACGGAGGGTGGGCAGAAAGGGAGAGGTTCGTCTCAGACATCACTAGTACCAGGCACAAGAAGGCTCCAGGAAGGAGAGGGAGATGGGCTGCAGGCTTAGGGCAGGTGGCCTTTGCTGAGGGGTATGTGGGGGATTGTGCCTGTTCCCATGGAGGTGGAACCTGGGCTCCATTAAATCCCTACTGACGTGCCACCTCCTATGTTGGCCACACTTCCCCCCCATAAGCTTCTCTCTGCCTAGCACTGAGCCAGGGGGCCAAGCAGAAGGGTCAGGAGGGGCTTGGCTCCACAGCCCAGG